CTCTCTCTCTCTCTCTCTCTCTCTCTCTCTCTCTCTCTCTCTCTCACGCACTCCCTCTGCCCTGCCAACCTTCCGTAATTCGTACCCCATCTCGCCGCCGCCGTAGGAGCAAACGAGAATTACCTGCATGACACCAAATCGTTAGTTTTCAAGACGGACTGTCCGATCCGAAAAAGAAACGACAGTGAAACGATCCCACATCAAGGCTCATAATGTAAGACAGAATTGAGTTAGTCTTCACCTAATAAGCGTCTGCCATATTTCCATCCCATCATCTCTATAAACTTCCTTCACTTTCATCTATCCCATTTTTTCCCTATCATGCCGTTCACAGTATCGTCTCTATATGATCATGACATTTGCAATGAGAGAGGGACATGAGCGAAGACATTGCCTACTGAAAGATGCTAACCCGGAGATCCAATAGAGAGAAAAAAGGGAAAGAGAGAGAGAGAGAAAGGAGTAGTACAATATGTAACGATTTCCCATAATTACTGATCCGTAGACGAATCCGAAATCATCACCATTATATCTCACCACTCACCCTGGTAGGCCCATCATCATCGTCATCATCCTCACCATCAAGCATCATCATCATCATCCTCACCATCAAGCATCATCAACATCACCGTTCAACCTAAAGTACGCATTATACCGCAAGTCACAAGAACTCGTCCGCTGCTGGCCAAGGGCTTGACCGTCTCTCATACCTGCGCACATACACACTTCGATTCACTGTTATGAAGCCCCGCTACATCGATCCCAGGAGAAGCCCGAATAACGAAGACAAATCTACAACCGTCGATTTTCAAGTAGAACATCCTTTGCTCTCTCTCTCTCTCTCTCTCTCTCTCTCTCACACACACACACACACACACACACACACACAGAGTGTCTGAGAAACACAAACATAACATGCACACAAGCACGCTCTCGATCGCAGAAAGACCCAGATCGAAACGCGGCAGCATGTGAACAGAGGACGTGACTCACTCACGTCACGTCCTCGTCCGTCGTTAGCTATATATAGCGCAGCCGCCATCGCTCCCACCATAAGTCGTTGCCAAGCATGAGCACATTTTGAAAAAAGCCTGGTAGTGGTGTTCAAGGCCATCAAGTTTCTGCTTCTTCGATTAACGAGCACAAAACCACCAAGGTCAAGAGATCGAAGCCCTGTGTACGAGCACGAACCTGAGACGAAATCCGGACCCCTTATATTTGAACCTGCTACGGCCTTCGCCATATAGTATTTGGGGGACCTATGATTTCTCTCTCCGCAATGATATCTAAATTCGTCCTCCTCCCTCCCGCTATGCCGACGGCTGAGTTTCCCTTTCGGCAGCAAAGCACTGAAAAGCCACCGTGCAAACGCGTGTCCCCTCCATACCGCCAAATCGGAATCTGGGATGGGTCCTAACATGGTCTACGTAACGAAATCCAACCAGCGGCTGATGACGACGATGATGCGCTTGAGGGGCCAGCACTCCTCTTCCCCTTCCTTCGTGCTCTTCCCCTTCCGCGCCTCCATCAGAACCGGATGGGGGTTGATCTGCCGCCGCCTCTGCTGCGGCCGCCGTTGGCAGTCCATTAGGCATCCCGTTAGGAATCCCGTTAGGCATTCCGTTGGGCATTCCGTTAGGCATTCCTCTACAGCTTCCCTCCGACTCCTTCCCATCCGCACTACTGCTGCTGCTGCTGCTGCTGCCACAAAACTCTTGCACCAGCTCATCCTTCGTGCTGTTACAAGACGTTATGATAAAGAAACCGTTTGGCGCCAAAAGCCTCTCGACGGTTTTCTTGTACGTAACTCTGTGCAAGGCTCCGTTCACGTGAAGGCCCACAGCGTCAAGAGTTCCCTTATCTGTGATGAGGTCGAATTGACCCTCCAATCTTGTATTAAGAACGTCGTCAACGAAAAATCGGACATTCAAAAACCCCTCCCTTTCAGCGACAGAGCTGGCCAGAGCTATGGCCGCTTCGCTGTAATCGACCCCGGTCAGGTCATCGAATCCTCGCCGCGCCAAGGCGTGAAGAAATATCCCATTGCCACAACCCAGATCAAGAACCCGCCAAGATGCTGCTTCTCCAGCCCTGACAAGACCTCCTCCTCCTCCTCCTCCTCCTCCCCCCCCTGCTCCTCCTCCTCCTCCTCCTCCTCCGCCACTGCCGCCGCCCAATCCTACTCCCTGTGAGGACACAGCGCCGTCATCTCCCATTGAAAGCGCGCCAACACTGCTGCTCGGGCCGGCAGCACCCAAGCCACCAACCCCTCCCAGCTCCGCGACCACACCACCTCCATTCTCCGCCCTGCAATCAACAGCGTGCGTCTGTCCTGACGACAAAGACGATGCAGAAGCGTGAGTAGAAGCTGACGAAAAAGACGAGGAAGAAGCAAATGCTAATAACATAGACGAGGCAGAAGACGAGGCAGGCAGCAAGGCAGGAAAAGGGTCCGCAGGTCGCTTGTCTTCTTCTTCTGCCCTTCGTAATGCTGCCGCTGCCGCCGCCGCCCGAGAAGCCGCCGCGGTCATGGCGACTCGAGTGGCAAAACTGGCCATCGCTTCCATCACAGATTCACCGAACCAGATCTCGCCAGTCTGTCCAAGCTCGTGGAACAATCGCAACTCGTCAGAATAGGTGCTTTCCCAGTGGCTGAGAAGTCCCAATTCCGATACATCCTCCTCTACTTCCCCATCGCTTCCGCTGTCAGTAGATCGGTCCTCTACCGTGGTCATCGCCTCCATGCCCTCCACTCCCCTCGGATCCTCCCCATCCAAGGTGCTTCCGTATTCACTCTTACACGACCACGAGCACGCGGCCATTGATCGCTCGTCATCAGAAATGTGCTCTTCGTCCCTTTCCCCTCTCACGCTGGAGGTCGTTTGCCCACCTAGCAAAACCATCCTGTCTGATAATCCGCTCTGAATGCTACCAACCATTGCTTCCTCTACCGCTCAACTCCGTGATCACCTGACGATTAGTACGTCGTGCACAAAGCCGGCGCGCCCCCGCCGAAAGACCGACCGAAAGGCGGAGCGAGCGAGCGAGCGAGCGAGCAAGAGAGAGAGAGAGAGAGAGAGAGAGAGAGAGAGAGAGAGAGAGAGAGAGAGAGAGAGAGAGAGAGAGAG